TAAATGATGGAATTAAACAAAAAAGGGGGATATAGATGAATGACCATTTTGTATCTGTGTATTCAAAATGGTTAGGATAGATATATAGCTACATTCTCTTAATTCAAGGAATAGAGGGATTTGTTCTAATTGTGTTTGTAAATAGGATATCATGTCTGCATCTTGTACAACAAATAACCACTAGGAAGGCCATATGCAATGTGTTAATTATTAGAACTGTCCTACCAATTTGATTTGAAACTGTCTCATTGCTATTTATTTCTCAATAAAATTATGGAAAAAAAAAGTCATACTAGATAGGAATTCTCTCCCATTCTGTGGGGGTACTTCTTATTTTTTTATATTTCCTGTCTCTTACAGCCCCTGAGAAAGTATTATAGACAGCTAAGTTAGGTAGAAATATTATAGGCAGTCAGACAGGGCTACACCCTGGAAGAAGTCAGTGTAGAAGACACATTACAACTGTGGGTGGAGGTGCGTTCACTGAAGGATAGATCTAAAGACAAAGATGAAATGACTATACCTATATACTTCCCTTGAGGGCTAAAAAATACTGATCGATATTCTAAATAGGCATCAATCCCTTGGGTGGAGGACCAAAACCTCAACCCGTCCCTTCCAGGAAAGGTTCTTGTTTTTTCCATGTGCACTTGCTATGTGACTTGCTTCCCCATTGGCTCACTGTTACCTAAGCAACTATACCTGTAGTCTTATTGGTTGATCATGGTTTTGTCCCACCTTACACCTACCTCATGATTTTGCATCCCCCCTTTTCCCCCCCACCTTGTGATTTTACTCTATAATACTTCCTTTGAGAAGTGGGCTCTTAGGTAACCCACTTTCTGGACCAACCCCTTTGTCGCTCTTAAACAGAAGTTCTTTCCCTCAATAAATATTCCCTATTCTTACTCTCCGTTATTCCTTAGAATTCATTCTTCAATTTGGGGAACACAAACTTGGCATATCAGACTTCTAGTAAGTTCGGGGTTATAATATTTTCTGATATTACTTGGATTATTTGGTACTCCTGTATCATCCCTATGTCAAAAGCTGTACTTTTGAGGGCATTGTTTTTGGTATTTGCAAAAGATCATAATAACAGCAGAAAAAAAAATGTACTAGAAACAAAAAAATGTGTTTGACCACGAACACTTAGCACAGCGCTGCTTATGCTGTGAGTTGAAGGCGAGGGTGTGCGGTGACGAGACCCGGGAGCTCTCGGTGAATTCCGTGAAGCAGTGCTTTCGGAGGGCAGAGGAGCCCTGAGAGGACTCTGGTCTGCAGCGGAGGGCACGGAGGGTGCTGGCTCCCTGTAACGGCCTTTCTGCTTTCCATCTCTCCCACAGGCTAAAGTGGGTTTCCCGGAAGTCACGATAGGAATTCTTCCTGGTGGAAGAGGGACCCAGATTTCTCCCAGACTCATTGGCCTTCCGGCTGCCCTTGACTTAATCACCTCAGGTCAGTGTGAACCTTGCTAGGAACCACCTAATGAGTATGGAGAGGGCAAGAGTCCTAAGACTAAAATATTTTGGCATTGCTAATAGTAATCTCTATGTTTTGGGGCAGAACATATAATTGAAAGACTGTTATAAATGAGACAAATTAGAAAAGAATCTGAATCTGTGTGCATCAAAATGACTTTGTTCTTTAAATGAGGGAATATTATAAATCCTATTGAAATAGAAGGAAAGGTTACAAAAAGTAAAATCATTGATTTTTGTTAAAAATCAAGATACAAATTATATTAGTTTATAAGTATATGGTAAGCACATTGTAAAGAATGTAAACTATTTTAAGTAATATACAATCCTTAAGAGAATTCTACAGTACCACAAAAATTCAAAGTATGTAAACTAGTTTCTTCATAAAAGATACAGTAGAAAGGGGAGAAATAAAGACACAATATCCTAGAAATTCTTAATGGTGCATAATAAGTCAGAAAACTATGGTTTACAGAATTGAACATAGGGGTAATTATTATGGAATTTGGTGATTTAATGTTCAGTATTAGGCCTGAAAAGCAAGAACATCTCTGGGAAAATCAGGAATAAAATTGTCTTCTTTGACAAAAAGAAATGAAGTGACCTGTAATTGGCCACTACACAAGCACTGCTTCAAGAAAGACCAGTAGTATTCACATGATAAAAGAAATTCAGGGGCCGGGGAGACAGCTCAGTAGAATAAGCGCTTGCCTGGCAAGCACAATGGCCTGAGTTCAATCCCCAATGCCTATAAAAAGTATTCTGGAAAAAAAAAAAAAAATTCAAACAGTGAGAATATGACAAAAACTCTCAGGAACCCTCCCCGGATACAGGCAAGCAGGCACGCACTGCTGTGCCCGGCCCCACACGTGAGAGCAGGCTGCGCGGACGCCAGTGCTAGGCAAGGACACCTGTGACGGGCTGGATCCCAAGACCACAGATCAGAAGGAGAAACCAGTGTCCATTGACTCAATCTTTATTTGATTTTATATTTTTACTATTTTTATCTTTCTTTCATCAGGCTTTTTAGAGTTTGGGGATTTTTCTCTCCTTTAGGTTTCTTCTTCTCCTATGAACTTTTCTCTCTTCTTTCCTATCTCTCTTACATTTTGCGCTGTTTATCTTTTTCTTGTTCATTCTTTTTCCCACTGTTTCCAATCTAGTGGCTTGCCGTCATTCCTCAAGAATACTCCCTACTTCACTTCCATCTCTTCCTGCTCATATCCCACTGACTGATTTTTCAAATATCACTTTTTTCCTCCCCTGGCTTCTCACTCCACCCCCATCTTTACTAGGATAATTTTTAACCTTCAAGAATCTAGGCTGGACACAGTGCTGCAAGCTTATAATTCCAGCACTTGGGAGGCTGAGGGAGAAGGATTGCTGAAGATTTGAGGCCAGCCTGAGCTACATAATGAGACCCTGCACTGCCTAGTATGACTCTGCAAAAAAACCAAACCAAACCAAATCAAAAGAATCTTTTGATAGCTAGTTAATTTTACATTATTGCTGTTGAATATTGTTCTATTGTTAGTAGAGGTAAAGTTGTTCTAATTAGTGGGTATTTACTGTAGATTTAATAGTAGCTCACTCCTTTGGTTTCTCTTAGTGTTCATACTATACCTATAGATCTTTTCTCTATGCATAAGTATGATACGTTATTGGTCTTTGGGATTTGTCAATACTCAGTTTGTATGTGATACTATACTTGGTGTTAATTTTATTATTATAGCACGGTGACAGAGCTGTTGCTATTCATTGGTCTTTCTTGGGATGCCAATATCTGCATTTCCTTGGGGTTGTTAGTAGAACTCTGACCAATTCCTGGAGAAGTAGGTACTGCAACCTCCCATCCCAAGTAAACAGAGGTGACTGGATCCTGGGACAGAGGCAAAGGCCAACAGTTAGTCACATCCAGAGGACACCACTGCAAAGTCGACATTGACCAAAGAGGTCTCCATGTTAGAAAGGAAACCTTCCACCCAAGTCGGCTGGCAAACCTCAACACAAAAACAACAAACAAACAAACAAACAGAAACATGAGAAAACAAGACAATAAATCCCTCCCCAAGCCTCCGACTTCCCCAAAGCTGGTCCATCGGGCAGTGAAGAGAAGGAAGTAAAAAGTCACGTGTCCAGATTATTTGAAGTGATATCAGGAGACAGAACAAAAGAGTTCAGTAAGGTATCTGGCCAGGTTACAGAAGATAAAGTAAACAGATATTGGGCCGAACAAGCAAATTGATCAGCGAGTTTACAGCAGATGCTAATAAGCTATCGGCGATAAACAAACATCAATGAGCAGCACAGAAAAGAATTAGTGCCTATAAAAAGTATTCAAATGGAAAATCAGAGATTAAAAATCTGTTGAGAGTATGAGCAGCAGAAATGACCAATTTGAAAACTCTCAGAGTAGAAGACAGAGCTATGGTTGAGGACTAATTAATGAAAGATGCCTTAAAAGCAATAAGAGAACATGCAAATAGATCAAACAGCTCCTAGAGGATGCAAACAGAGCTAATGCTAATCTAAGATTAACTGGGTAGAGTTAGTAAAAAAAAAAAAAAAAAAAAAAAAAAAAAATCAAAAGGCAGCACAAGTGGCATTAAAAAAATCTGTTTACTGAAATAACAGCGTTCTACCCAATAACAAAATATATATTCTTCTCAGCAGCACATGGAACTTTCTCCAAGACTGACCAAATACTAGCCAGTAAAGCAAACTTAAGGAAGTGTAAAGGGAATGAAATTATGCCATGCATATTATCATTCAGAGCTCAATGAAACTAGAAATCAAAAAAGAAAATATAGAAATTATGCAAATATATACTTCATAAACAATACACTCTTAACCACTTATCAGTCCAATTATTTAAATATAGGATGACCAAAAATTGCATGTTTTTCATTAATTGTTATAATATAATGTAATAGGAAATATAAAAACAATTTATCAGATTTATTCAATACAAGAATCAACTGGTAGAAATGATATCTGCCAGAGTAACTCATGGGTTAGTCTATATATAACAAATGCACTTCCTGAGCAAGGCTGGGGTAGACTGTTAAGTGATTAACAATGACTTACAAAAAAAAAAAAATCAAGCAAGAGATAAGACAGTTACTAGAACAAAATGTCAGTACAACATACCAGAAGTTGTAGGACTCAATGAAAACAGTCTTAAGAAGAAGTTTCTAGCTGTGAATGCCCACATTATGAAAACGCAGAAGCCCAAATAAATAACCCAATGATGCACCTCAATGTCCTAGAAAAAAAAGAAAAATCTTAACCCAAAACTAGTACATGGAAGGAAACTGTAAAGATCAGAGCAGAAAGCAATGAAATTGAGACAGAAAAATACAAAGCATCAATGAGTAGAAGAGTTGATTGTTCGAAAAAATAAAGTAACCATTAGCCAGTAGGACAAAAGAGAGAAAAGACACAAATCAATGAAATTTTAGAAACAAAAAAGGTGAAATCACAACACACTGCCAAAATCAAAAACATTTTAAAAAACTACTTCACAAACCTGTATATCAATAAACTGAGGAGTTCAAAAGAAATGGACAGATTCACAGGTACATGAAATTACCAAAACTGAGCCAAGAATATTTTAAAATCTTGAATAATCTAATAATCAGAAATCATGTTGAAGCAGAAATAAAAACACAGGTACATGAAATTACCAAAACTGAGCCAAGAATATTTTAAAATCTTGAATAATCTAATAATCAGAAATCATGTTGAAGCAGAAATAAAAAAATCTACCAACTAAGAAAAGCGAAGATGCAGGTAGATTCATTACTGAATTCTACAAAAATTTCAGGGAAGATCTAACACCATTATTCTTCAAGCTGTTTGATAAAATAAAAGAGAAGGCTCACTCCTATAGTCATTTTTGGGAGCTACCATTACCCTGCTTCCAAAACCAAACAAAGATCCAGCCACAAAAGAAAACTACAGGCCAATCTGTTTAATAAAATAGATGCAAAAATCCTACAAGATGCTGGCAGACAGAATGCAATGAATCATCAAAAAGATCATACATCATGACCAAATAGGCTTCTTCATCCCAATGGTCCCAGAGATACAAGGATGGTTCAACATATGCAAATCAGACAAAGTCATCTTGGACCCCTCCTGTCTGTCTGGAACTATCCCTGTTCCCCACTCCCCATTCTTGTTCCTTTTCTCCAATAAATTTTTCTATTCACCATCCCAACATATGCAAATCAATAAATGTAATCCATTATATAACCGAAACAAGGATAAAAATCGCATGATCACTTCAGTAGATTCAGAAAAAGCCCCTTATGGGGCCGGGGAGATGGCTCAGTGGCATAAGCGCTTCCCTGGCAAGTGCAAGGGCCTGAGTTCAATCCCCGGTTCCCCAAAAAAAAAAAAAAAAAAAAGAAAAAGCCCCTTACATAATGCAGCATCCTTTCATGATAAAAGCACTGAAGAAAATATAGAAAGACTTTATTTTTATTTATGTGTACTTTTATGTATTTGGTACAGGGTCTTACTATGTAGCTTGGACTCATAGCAATCCTCCTGTTTTCAGCCTCCCCAGCACTGGGATTACAGGCATATGCCACCATGCCTGGCCTCTGTGACTCCACACATTCTGGGTGGGGCCAGCAAGGCATGTACCAGGGATTGAACCCAGGTCCTTGTGCCTACCTAGGCAGGCACTTAGACCACTCAGCTATCTCTGCAGCTCTAGAAAGACTTTATCTCAATCTGATAAAGCCATTTATGACAAACCTACTATCAATATTATATTAAATGAGAAAAAAAAAAACCACAAAAGTTTTCCCTCTAAAATCAGGAATAAGGGGCTGGAGAGATGGCTCAGTGGTCTAAAGCACCTACTTGGAACACGCTTGGCAAAGCACAGGGACCACGGTTTGATCCCCCAGCACCACATGCCAGCCAGCCCCGCCCCCTGGTGGGCTGAGCAGGCCACACACACACAATAAATAAATAAAACCATTTAAAAATAAAAAAAATAAAATCAGGAATAAGGATGTCCACTATCACCATTCTTATTCAACATAGTATTTGAAATGTTAGAGCAATTAGGCCAGAAAAAGAAATAGAAGGAATATGTATATGAAACAAATCAACTTATCATTATTTCAGGATATGTGATCCTCTAGAGAGGAGACTCCCTCCAAAATCTGCCAAAAGATCCTTAGAATTAATAAACAAATTCAGTGATGTAGCAAGAGACAAAATCAACACACAAAACTCAAGAGCAATCCTGTACACTAATAATGAACCCACTGAGAAGTTAGGAAAAAATACTGTTCATAATAGCACCAATAAAAATTAAATACTTAGAAATTAACCTGAGGAAGAAAGACCTCTGCAATGAAAACCTCCCCTGCAAGTGTGAGGCCCTGGATTTAATCCTCAATACGGAAAAAAAGTACATCCCGATGCTTTAGGTTGTACATACAGACAGCCAACCAGCTAAAGGTTCATTTTTATGCTCATTCCAAATAGGTATCACAGGGACCGGGGAGATGGCTCAGTAGAATAAACGCTTGCCTGGCAAGCACAAGGGCCTGAGTTCAATCGCTGGTTCCGAAAAAAAAAAAAAAAAAAAGGGTATCACAAATAGGCAAAAAAATAGGGCTCTTTTGCCCTCACTTTTAAATGCCAGCAGGATTTGAGAACCAGAAATAGAGCTTTTATCCCAAAGATGGCATCCAAAAGACTGTAGAAGAGCCAGAAAGACCCTGAAACTATTGTCAACAAGACTGACCTGATGACCACTTGTGCTGGCAAGAAAGCAACGTGCCAATGTTTCCTTCCTTCTGACCCCATGGGAAGGCGCCCTTAGTGACCCCAACCCCTATATCAGAATTTGCCCATCAGATTCCATCTTAACAAGTGGTAAAGGGCTTCCCACACAATTTGAGAATGATGCAAATGCTCATCGAGTTTCAGGAAGCCCCTCAAGGTGACATCCGTGGTGACAGCTCCGAGGGCTGGGCCGCCAACACTAACAGCAGATGTTGCCACTTCTGGGGGGGAGATTTAACTGTTGCAGAGGCATGGTGTCAGTGGCTCTTCACTAAGAATCCTCATCCGAGCACTGAGTTCTGCAGGCATGCAGTGTTGAGCCACAGGACTGGGAGACCAAGGGTCTAACCATCTTCGCTTCCTTTGTAACTTCCCCGGGAGGAAGCAGGCCTCCGAAGCTCACACAACAGAGATTTCACCAGGAAAGAAACAGATGCTAGGTAGCCAAAAAAGTGGCAGGAAACTACCTTACTTGTCATGTGTAATTCACACCATGCCTTATGGACCACCAATTTAATTGGTACGTTTTTCTCCATCCTCTCGACAGTGTCTCTCTTTGGGGACTACATTCTTTGATAGTCAGCTGTAGCCTCTAGTGTGTGGCAGATACAAGACAAGCTGGACTGCTGCTCCTCTACTGCCCACATCTCTATTCGTAGTAGTGTCTGAAATCAACTATCCTAAAAATGTATAAGATATTAAAGTGCTTCTATAAGGATTTACAAAATAGGAGACAATATTATTTTCACTTGATACTCAGAATTGCTGAGATAAGCACAATTATTCTCATTTATCCATGAAGAAAATTATAGTACTGCACAGTCTTCCATGGCTAAGCAAACTGTAAGAAGTAAAACTGAAGCTTGAACTTAGTTTTCTGGCTATGTCTGCGGTAATGTTTTTACACGAGTAGTCAGGATGGACTTTATTCACTTTACTTAATATAAAATGTTTATATCCAGGAAAGACTACTTTCCCCATTACAGAAAAGAATGTTGTCATTTTAATATTCACACTGTTCTATGATTTATTTTATTCTGTTTTAGGAAGACATGTTTTGGCAGGGGAAGCGCTCAAGTTGGGTATTTTGGATAAAGTAGTGAACTCAGACCTACTCGAAGAAGCAATCAAATTCACCCAGAAAATTGTAGGTAAGAAGATAACAAATAGCAAGATAATAAATGAAGAACACATGACTGAGAACAAGCTAAATGTTCACTCAGGAACTCATTAAGTTTCTTATGACAAATCTATGTGGTAGAGTAAGTTATAATTTAAAAATGAACTTACTGATATGGTATAAACTATATAAAATATATACCCCATATATATGATTAGAGTTTTTAAAAAAGCATTGTGTTTGCTGGTTTGCTGTTGACATAAAAAAAGGAAGGTTGGAATAGGATGTATATAGGGAGAATGGATATTTGTAACTGTACATGCACAAATATTTCTGTAAGGATTCACAAGAAATACTATAGGTGCTCTGAGTATGGGCAGGTACTGGAATCATTGGAAGGAGTCTTCCCACACTTTACCCTTCTGTATTTTTGGAATTTTTTTTTTTTTTATCACATGAGTGGTTTTCCAAGTAAGAAGTAGAATTAACTTTGAAACACAGGAGAACACACACGTTTCAGCCCATAGAAGGCAGGCTTACTCTGCATCGTGAGGCCGTGGCTCTGCAGCTTCTGTCTCAGCTGACGAAGTTCCACTGCGGTCCAGGGCTTCTTGTTTTACAGACCTAAGATGTTTTCAACTTTAAGTGTTTCTTTAGCAGCATGACTAGTTTGAATTTCAGCTGTTTCCTTGCGGTCTGTGGAGCAGTGCTGAGCTACAGGCAGAGCAGTGTGTGTCCATGTCCCCTTGTTGGTGGCAGCAACTCTCAGGATCCACGCAAGACAGTCCCTTAAAAATGGCCTGACCCTTTCTTGAAGTCATCTGTCCCTTCTGTGGTCCAGCCAATTACTGTTGCAGTACAGTAGTGACCCTTGTGCTGAGAGGTGAGGAGCAACATGGAGAAAACACTGGGGACTCCTGAGAGCACTGGCAGGTCCTTGTCCACGTGGAGATGGGCTCCCGGACGACTTTCTCGTCCTTCACGAGGCCTGCACCATGGTGCTTCCTGACAGGAAGTCACGTGGGTGGTTTGGAGCAGAGGCTGTTGGCCTCTGGATGTCCTGAGTCATTCTGTGGATGAGAGCTCAAGCCTGGGGCTCAAGAGAGCCCCTGTGTACCATCCACACATGTGGCTTTTGTTTGAAACCCTCTCAAATTTAATGGCACATTCTTTTCCTTAACTGATGTCCTCAGATTCTGATTTAAGAGTTAACTTACTTAAATAAATGGATAAGGATCATGGTGTAATGCATTTATAAAATGCTACAGGTTCCATGTTTTATTTCAGTTTTAAAGTTAATTTTAGGGCTGGTGAGATGGCTCAGTGGTCTAAAGCACCTACTTAGAACAAGCTTAGCAAAGCAAAAGGACCGAGGTTCAATCCCCCAGCACCACATGCCAGTCAGCCCCGTCCCCCGGTGGGCTGAGCTGGCCACACACACACACACACACACACACACACAACTTTTAAAATAAATAAATAAATAAAGTTAATTTTAAACACTAAACCGACATTTTTATATTTATAAAAACGTAACAATGTTCAGTGTCGGCAACATTACATAGTTTGTCCACTTGGTGGCATTCAACTTTCAAAGCATCAATGTCCTTAAAACTTATAAACTCATTTTACAGGTCTGGTTTTGGATTATTACATACAACCATTTTATTTTATTTTTTAAATTTATTTTGTATATTAGGGAAAGGTCTACAGGGTGTTCAGGGTCTCACTACGAGATCCAACTCGCCAACTCGTAGTGATCACCTGTTTACAGCCTCCCAAGAGCTGGGATTACAGGCGCCTGTCACCACACCCAGTCTCAATCACCTAGGAGGGGGGAGGGGAGGCCGAGGCTGGCACAGCAGGCCCAGGGATCAAACCCCCAGCCCCTGCTATGTCTCTACTTTGGATCCTCACAAGTCTCTATAGTCAAATATAATCTTTTCTCTTGGATAACTACTTAAGAATGACATCTCTTGAGATGTAAAGGAACTATGCACTTAACTTTGAAATGCTTTTAAACCTGATTGATGAAGAAACATTAGCGATTTAAAAGTCACTGATTTTGGCAAAGCAGCAAAGAGGAAAATAATATGGAAAATTGAACTTAAATGCACTTGTGTTGTACTGCTTTTAATCCATTTTGTCTAGAGGACAATTAGGCAATCACATATTGAGTTTTAGAAGTTTTTATATTTTTTGACCTAGTGTTTCTACTCATGGTAATTTACCATACAGAAATAATCACTGAAGTACTAGGATCTGAGTATACTAATGATCACTGAAGGTTTATCAGTGCAAAATACTGGAAACAACTCAAATATCTAACTTTAGGGGATTAGTGACCCAAAAGATGGTGGCTATCAATAAAGCAATTCCACTGAGACATTAAAACTTCCATTTTAGAAGCCATCTGGAAAATGGCCAATATTTTGGGGGAATTTATTATATTCATCCACAAAAAGAAAAAATTTAATTCCCTTTTCACATTTGTAAAAATATTCCATCAGTCCATTCTGTCCCCCCGACACGCCACTCAGATGTTGAGTTAAAAGGAGGGAAGCAGGTAAGACACTTACTTCCTGCATCCTGTTTAGGAAAGGAGGTAGGGAAGGAATCCCCAGCGGTCAGTGCTCCGCTCAGCCCTGCGGAACTATTATCAGTGCACCAACAATGATCACAGTAACTTCCAGAGGATCGGGGACAGAAGAAACATTTTCAAAACAACCATCCCCTTGTCCCTAAGTGAAAATTCTCCCTGTATTTTGTGATAAGCCAGAAGTGGAAGATAACAGCATCCTTTTAGTATACCCAGCGCAAGAAAAGGCTATGAAACAGACGGAGGGGTGCAGGGACCAGGCGTGCCCGTGCCGCTCAGACCTCACTAGGCACGCTGAGCCTTGTGTAGTCCTGGAAGGCTCCTATGTAATCCGCAGGGTTTTACTTCTTGATACCAGGATTATGTTAGTAAGAAATAATTAGTGTAAGGAATGAAGCAAGGTGCACTTTTTCATCTTATTCTCAGTTATAGTTCTCTGGCTCTCCGTGTTTCTCTCTGCTCCCCTACCTGTTCTTTTCAATCTCTGGCCTAAAATTTTGCACAACATCAGCTGTCCTTCATCCAGTGACTGACATAAATCTCTTTGATTGAACCTCCCAGGTCCATGCCTCAAAGTCAACTGTTGAACACTGCAGCAGTTGCTCAGGCAGCCCCACTCTTAAAGATTTATAACTGAGTTTGTGGTTAAAAAA